CATGGGTAGCCTGATAAATGATGGTTTCCCATCTTTCCTCAACGGAAGCTACAATCATTTTAGAGAGCAACTTCACGTAACTTATAAGTTTTACCTTTCATCTGCGCGCGTGCGTTTACAAAAGAAAATAGACCAAATTCCGAGAATACTGATATGGCCACCAAAGCTTATTTTTTACGTTATACAGTATAGCCGCCGTGATGTCAAAGAGAAACATTGCGTTAGTTGCATCATCTACTTCCCTAAAACTGGGGAATGCCTTATGCTCGGCTCCTTGTCGCTTGGAGTTGTATCACTGAGCGCAAAGTACTTGTCGAACCCAATCTGTAAGTCAATGCTCGGAAACTTAACGCTGAAGTATCAAAGAGTATTTTTTCGTTTCAGAAACGACGATCTTTGTTGAAATCGAAATTTCTTGATACCTGCTGTCAAGCATCCTCCAAAATAGCTCAGCCGTGAAAAATTACTACAGGAAACGCACGTCCACGCAAGCAACAGGATGTCATTAAAGACGACCTTTGCCGTTTATCCAAAGGAACCTACTAAGGGGGGGGGGCACATTGGGATTTTCGGCAAGGTGGGGGAGGGGAGGGTATGGCTACACGTAGGGTGGGTTTCTTTATCAACGCCACCTCGAAGTTGGTGACCAAGTTGATTCAACATTCCAATTGAATCTACAAATTTCAGCTCTTAGTTCGTAAATGGAAATGTTAGATTAGGGATTTTCGATGAAACTTTCCAGAGCTATAGCTTTTTGCGACTGCAAAACTGCAATCCTATAGGGGACTTTTGTGCGAATTCCTTTAATTTAACTAGGCTCCATTACCAGCTGCTGGGTCCGCAGAGACCACGCTAGAGGTCCTGGGGAGAGCAACTGTTAATTTAAGCAGATACTAGAAGATACGAATGCCAAGTCCATGGCCTTTATAAATCCTGTAATGAAATTAGTGTAGTTTACTCTGTATGTTTCACTTGTCACCACTGTATCGGATCGATCAGGGTTTTAATAACTGGGATGTGAAAATGTATCGGTTTTGACAGTTTTGCATGCGGTTTTCGGTTTTGATCGAATTTTTTTTTCGGTTTTTCGGTTTTGGATGATTTTTTCTACGGTTGTGCGGTTTCTAATAGGCCCCAAAGCCCCCCTCTACTAACGGTTCAGCTCACCATCTTTAGTTCGAATTTTCTCCTTCGATTCTGTACCGCACAAGTGAGATTTGACGTCATTTACGGACTGGGGAATCCCCGAAACTTTTCACAAAATAATTTGCATAAGGAAATGTTCTCAATCGTTAAGGGAATAGTTATGGTCATTTTCAGGTGACGCATCTTTGGGCAATCTTGCTAAATTCTTCAAAGTAACGACCGCTCCTATTTATTCCTCAAAATTGCCAAGGATCAGTCTTTTGGCCACAGATAAAGTTGTTCAGACTAAAACTAATAAGGAAATCAGACCTACAAGTTTGTTTATTAATTCAAAGCACGAACCGTAACTTTAAGTTCAAAATTCGTTTAAACGAAAGGAAATCAATTTTAAATCAAACCAAAAAAAATGGGATACAAAAAAAACTCTTAATAAAACAGATAATTTATAAGCATATACTCGCGACTGATACTTCATGTTCTATGTAAGTTAAACGTTACTGGTCATGATATAAACAATTCATTCTCACGACCACAAGAAATCAACGTAACCTAATACATTCGAGTTAAATCACGAATTAATATAACAGTTTATCTCTTTATTTTCGTTCATTAAAACAGCCTGTAGAAATGCCAGGAAATTTGATCTCAGCGCTCCCGATATCTGTCGAATAAAGCAAAAAATATAAAAATGACAAATTCTGTTCTTAATTCATAATTCATTATACGGCCGAATGTCGGAAAGCTCCGTGCTATGCAAGAGAAACCAGAGGGCTTAGACGGAAATGACGTCATGACGTGTAACGTTTCGACAAGCGAGAATTTTAGATTTTGAAGGTTCCTTCATTTTGCTCCCTAAGCATATAATTTTATATAACGTCATAGTCTCAAAATTAGACAGAAGTTCAACCAGTTAACCTCTATGTGTAACTTCTCCCTAAAATATCCAAACATTATGCAGCAAACAGTTAATGAGAATACTTAAACTTATTAGATAAAGTTTGTTATCTTGATCTGACACCAAATTCTCAAAACCAATTTACAAGGAAATGTGTAGCAGCCTGAGGGGAGAATTAACAATCAGATTTTGTGAGTTTGGGGTGAAAGGAAATTCATAACCAAAGCGAAATTATAATTTTACCAGCCAAACCACGCTTTTTGATTCTAAAATTATCATTTCTAAATCATTAAGTAACTGTGTGCATTTCCACATCACTCAATATTTACTTGACGGCCTAAATGTTTAGAAACTAATTTTTCAGAGATAAATCTGTACTCACATTTGATCTAAAACCTCTCTTCGTGTTCTTGAGGCATCTTGGCGGGTCTCTCGTCATTTTCTACAGGCTGCTTCTCAGGCGGGTTATTAAATCCACTCAGTCGTCTTCTTCCTCGCTCTACTACTCTTTCTTTACTCTTCCACAGCTTCAAGTACAGGATTGTCACAATCCCACCAAGAAATGCACCAAAGAGTGCACTACATAAAAGTTCTTCCATCTCTGACAGGGTTATCGAATGAACCTCGAAAATGATTGAAGATTTTATCTACGGCGGCTCCACACACGCGCGTCGTGCAAGCAACTGGTAGACACCTCTGTGTTTGGATCAATATCAGTACCTGAGTTACTGCCCACCTACCCCTCCCTACCTAACCCAACAACAGTCAATTGATTGCAAGTTAGGGTTAATGTTGGGTTAGGGGAGGGGTAGATAAGGGAACTATATCACGCTTAATAACGATTACAGAAGTTATCTGAGTTATTTGAATGTTGATGGATGTGTACGAATCTACTTCCGGTATTTCTGCCCACGCAATCTTTTGTTTTATCGTCTAAACTTAATCTCCTGTCATTATTGAAGCTGGCAAAGACATATTTCCTTTTTCGGTGAATATTTTTGTCCAACTAAACTGCTAAGAAGCTTTTTGGGGGCAACTTTATCAAGTTCGTTGGATACTAATGCAAGTCGATTCAACTCAAAACTTTCATTACTTTTCATCGAGAACCGGACTGAAAAAAACCGTGTTGCTGTAGTGAAGTCAATAAGAACGACAGCCAATAGAAAACGTCGAGTTGTCGTATTAACGTCAGTGAGAAAACGAGAGCTAATGACATTTGGCGAAGAGAGAAAGGAAACACTAGAGAAAAGAACGCGTGACGGACAGGAATACGTAACGGAGCTGCAATTATTTTAAAAGAAACTGGAGGACTTTCGGCTAACGCTCGGAATTTCAGCCTTTTAACTCTAAGCGATATTATTCACTTTGCCTGATCAAGTAAACCAAATCACGCACGAATAATGTTATTAACTTAGCTTTCAATTGGTCGCGGAAACAAATCATGCGCGAATCATAAGAGGTACCTAAATGTTTACAATCACTTAGAGGCAGAGCTTCCAGCCGCCATAAAAGTCACACCAGCAATTCAACATCAGAGCCCACGTGAGGCTTTCTCGTGATCTGTTCCAGCGAGGGAACGAAGTGATCGTCGCATACTGAGGCCAATGCTCCAAACATATAAATGGCCAGTAGACGATGAATTACAACACCTCCTTGCTTTAGTCGCTGATACTGTGTCATAAAGTCGTTTGGAAAGTCGTCTATGGAGAGTTTGACGCAATTTTCTGATGACATCGAGATTGTTTCGAATTGCACTTTCGAGTTGTTTCGGTTGCATCAAATTCGACCCATCGGATCTCTCGAACGGAACCACGATGACCTGAATTGATTTATTCCGTTGTAAACGATGTTATTGACCCATAAAGTAGACTTGGGTACACGAGACAAGCGAAAAGAACTAGAATTGCAAATCTAGTTATGATGTTTTATTCTCGTTTCATTTCGACACGCAAATCGAGTGCAGAGGGAACTGAATTTCTGATGTTTGTGCCCAGTAACGTTCAATATTGTAAGCAATGTAAAATTTAATAGGGTGGGAGTGCAGATTGTCAGTCTCCAACCATACCATAATTTTTGTCACGCAGCTGATATAGAGAAAGTGCGTTTTCGTTACTTACGTCACTTGCCGAATCTTTTACGTAAAATAAAACGCTGTGATTATCATAAAGGATACAATGATTTAATGTATCTTACAATAATTATGTTTTATGAAACGGATGCGACACATCAATCAATTTTGCAAATTTCGCTTGATAAAAAATGGCGAAAATAGGTTGATGTGAGTGTCATATGAAAATATAGTTACGCGAAATTCTTGGATGGGCTGTGTTCCATAAATTGGACAATTAGCATTTTTTTATTAATTCTAATGATTTTCTCAATTTATTTTCTTTTGTTTTCTGGTGAACACGGAAGTAATAAGTCATATGCAGGTTTTTCCTTGTGCAGTTCGAATTCCGTCCGTCTTTATCCTACTTTCTGTCCAAACCTTTCGTATTTGTCATGCAAAAACAAGGTCTCTCTTGCTGAAATTCATAAACATTCACCTTTAACCATCTCATTGTTAATCCATCTGTGTTTTTCAAATCTTGTTGTATATAAAAATGGTAATTGATTGTTGTACAGTTACGTGCATTAGATTTGATAAATTGGACGATTCTAATCACGACACCTATTGTTAATGATATTATAATGTCAAAATATCTCCATTTCATTTTGTACTCTGTATTACATTGAGTACTTTATAATTATGTCATTACCTATACGGGTTTTTCCAAAATGCATGTCTTGATAAAAGCACTATTATAACAAAACACATAATCCTGTCGATTTGATACATCAACAAAGTCGATTCGATTCATTGGCTGCGTAGGTTACATGACTACTCTCACTAAAGTTATATCGAAACGACTGTAAACCTACAGAAGACTTGGTGTTTTCTATGCTTCATTCTTCAGTTCTAAGTAAACGGCATCTTACAAGGTTGCTTCGAAGACTCTTGAAATCTACCACGCACAATAATTAACAGAAGTGTGCTAGTCCATAATGCTATGAGCACAGAAGTTGTAAGTGCTACTGAAGTATGTCTTTTCCATCTTCTTCGCCAAACAGCCATAACAGCCATGTTCTGATAGTGAGTCTCGATCGCGAGGGATACGCTGGTGAAAAACCACTCAATCACCAACTGAAGACAAGTTGTTAGAGCAAAAGGCTCCAACACCTCTAATAAGGAGGTGTTTTGAAGGAAATTGAACTTATACAAATACAAGCAGCCGTTAACGGAAACTATAGCAGTTGATTCAAACAGCATGCTCATAATAGCAATATCAGCCATTAGCCTCTCACGGCGAGGAGTGCGAAAACTTCCCCAAGGAGCGGCTGTTCTTTTCCAAATCGAGTGGCAAATATGATCAATAAAGACCATTGCGCTTCTTTCGATTACTTCCACAGTCCCGTGAGTTATCCCTAGAATCGCGATGGATTGTAAACTGCCGAGATCTGCTTGTAAAACGCGAAACATGATCGCCGAAGAGCCGAACAACGGCGCCAGTAAGACATATAAATATCCCGGATGAATGATATCCCGGTGAAGCCGCTGAACACAAATTCGAGAGGTAACCTTTAGAACGACTCCAATTAGAGGCGCAAAGAGAGCGATTAATAGTTTTCCATTCTTGGTTTGTTTATTAAAAGTTGGGTAGATGATCTCGGCCACCGGAATTGCAAGAATGATAATAGATACAGGAACAATTGCCACTTGAAAGAAAATCGTAATCCTCTGCCTTGTTGATTGTCGTGAAACGAGAAAAAAATGATTCGTTACGAGATGTATTTGCCAAGATATAATTATAACACCAAGAAAGTACGGTGGAAGCTTTTGTATCGTAGAAAGTTTAGAATGGGACATTCCGAGGGCTTGAAGAGACACGCGGTAAAGTGCATCCAATAGAAATCCACCGCAGCTCAATGAAATAAGTTTTTTTCTTATTCCATTGATCTGATAAGGTCGAAAGAGAAATAGGACTACCAAAAATAAATTATTATACATGATGCTACAACACGTTACATCTGATATTGATCTTAACCATTGAACTTTCACGGGAATGGATTTCTTTGGGTAAAATTCGCAGTTGTTTACAGTTTTGTACAGTAGAAATGAAATCAATATGTATAGTGAACCTATGACGGTAGCAGTTAGAAGTGAGATCGAGGCTCCAAAGTACATTGATTTCCAAGCAGTGTGGAGAGCGGATGGTCTTAATCGCTTCCACGCCATTGCTCTATCTTCATCATCTTGTGAGTTGTTTTCGTGTGTTTCTTCATCGTCGTCTGATGAGAATGCGTTTATGACTCTTACCTTAGGACTGCAAGCCATTAAATAGTCCAAGCTAGTTGCTTCTCTCTCGCTGTATTCCTGATAAGTAACCTCCTCAACAGGTTGATAGTTCCATTCTAAACCAGTCTTCTGTAGAGGATCGTAGCCAAAAGCCATTAATCCAGGTTCTTCCGGGTTGTAATGCTCTGTCACGCCTCGTGTAAAACTGAATACGATATGGCCAAACACCTCTATCAGCGTATTGCTTCTCATGGTGCCTTGTCTAAACGTCAAATGTCTTAGTTTGGTGTCTGAAGCGAAGGATTTTATTGCTCTCCGCTTTTGTATTTGATGTTAACTTGCTCAGACGATATTTTATTGTTGTTGTTTTCTGTCAGTTAAGTGGCTCAAGGAAAGGCCAGTGACTCAGTGTTAAACATATATTCGTGTTTTTTACCTTTTAAATGACACTTTCCTCGCCTCATCTCCTCTTACTTTCTTGACTCAAGACCAAACCGTGTGAACGGTCCGGCTGCTTGGGCAGCAGCACGTAAGCTTAAGGAATTCTCTCCCAGGTTATCCTGACAAACAACTGTTAAAGTTATTTTTCAAAGGCGTCGAACAACTAGTTAGACTAATTTAGGGAAAGTCTCGTTGCTTTTATGAAATGATTATTAGTTGTCGTGAATTTTATAATTGAGAAGAAAGGAAGTTGATGTCGATGTTTCGAGACTTTGTAGCGGCACGTTTCGAAACTATACAGGGGACATAACTCTCAAGATCTGATTAACTAATTCTTCCTTTAGCTGCTATACATTTACTCGTAAATTATTGACGATCGCGAGAATTTGGTGTCAGATCAAGATAACAACTAACCCGAACTTTTTTAGGATTCTTTTCAGCAATTTCTTTAATTGCATCTTACCGATGAGGATCTTTTCCTCACATAAATTTCAACCAAAGGTGAAAAAAATTGGTTATTTTATTTGATTGCGACTCCATTTAATCTTTTTGAGGAAGTTTTCAAGGATGAATTGAAACTGGGATTCGTCACCTTATGTTCGTTGATAACAAGATACATATTTGTTCAAGGTCATAGCTAGAGTCCGAGCAACTGCGTACCTACCCCTCCCTTAACCCGATACTAATCCTTAGTTGCTATCAGTTGACTGCTGTTGGGTTAGGGGAGGGGTAGGTGCGCAAACGGTCAGCTACTGACATTGTTTTCTGGTGTCTTTCACAAGAACTTTGCACCATTTATCTTTTCTATGTTTTCAGAGACGCTTTATTTGCAATTCTGTGCTATAGGCGACTTCTCAAGTGAGACATGACGTCTTTATGGTAGGGGAATCCCCGAAACTTTTCACAAAATAATTTGCATAAGGAACTGTCAATTTGGAAGTCACGCAATCGTTTGCTCACCTTTCGTTCTCAATCGTAAAAGGGAACAGTTCAGGTAATTTTCAAGTGACGCATCTTTCGGTATTCTTCCCAAAATCTTCGGAGTAGAACTTCTGATAAATAACTCTCTGAAAACAAAGACCGCTCCTTTTCATTCCTCAAAATTGCCAAGCATCAGTCTTTCAGCTACAGGTAAAGTTGTTCAGACCGTGAAAATTAATACAAGACATACAGGTTTGTTTATTTATTTAAAGCGACACGAACTGTAAATTTAAGTTCACAATTCGTTTAAACGAAAGGAAGTCAATTGTAAATCAAACAAAAAAATTACAATGAAAATAAAGAAAAACTCCTAATAAAACAAACAATTCACAATCATATACGCGCGACTGATACTTCAAGTTCTATGTAAGTTAAACGTTACTGATAATGATAAAAACGATTCATTCATGCGACTACAAGAAATCAATCATAACCTGTGACATACGTGTTAAATCACACATTTACAGTTTTTACGCTGCTCTTTCTCGTACATTAAAACAGCATGTAGAAATGCCAGGAAATTTGATCTCAGCGCTCCCGGTTTCTGTCGAATAAAACAAAAAATATAAAATTACCAATTCTATTATAATTTGTTATTCATTACACTGCCGAATGTATTCCGAATTAATCTTTCAAGCACAAGCAGAAGCCTAGACGGAAATGACATCTATGCGGTTCAGAGCTACGGCAAGCGAAATTTCAGATTTTAAATTTTCCTTTCGGCTATTTTCGCTCTTTAAGCTTAAATTTGATGCGACGTTTCCATTCGACAGAATTTTAACCTATTAACCTATAAAATATCAGAAGCGATTGAAATGTAACTTCTCACTGTAATGTCCATACATTATACAGCAAACAGGTAATGAGAAAACTTTAACTTATCAAATAGAGTTTGTTATCTCATCATCTTAATTATTTACAGGCTGGAAGTGCACTCTACTCAGTCACAAATAAATTGTAATCAGCGTTAGAGGGGTTCGGGGGTCATCAAAAATTTTAGCAATTTTAATAATTCGTCTAAAATGATCACTTTCATGTACCTGTAAGCACTTTCCACATCACCCAATATTTATTTGGCATCCTACAGTTTTAGAAACTAATTTTTCAGAGACAAATTTATACTCACATTTGATTTAAAACCTCTCTTCGTGTTCTTGAGGCATCTTGGCGGGTCTCTCGTCATTTTCTACAGGCTGCTTCTCAGGCGGGTTATTACATCCACTCGGTCGTCTTCTTCCTTTCTCTGTTACTCTTTCTTCAGTCTTCCACAGCTTCAAGAACAGGATTGTCACAATTACACCAAGAAATGCACCAAATAGTGCACTACATAAAAATTCTTCCATCTCTAGGGTTATTACATGGACCTTGAGAATGTTTGAAGATTATACTGTGACGTTTGCGTTCAAAGCGTAGGACGACCCCTATTTGGGGCGCGTGATGAATTACTTAATTATGTTTGGCTTACTTTTAAATTTAGCCAAACTTATGTAAACGATAAGTTCACGTTACGTTTCGCTTCAATTTCAGGCGTGAATTTGCATAACTTTCATGGACGAAATCTCTATGAATTTCAAAGATCCAAACCATTTTCTAAACTACATCTGCTTTATCTTTATCCACTTAGCAAACAAAGCTTTCCAAATTACGGTCAAAACACCAGACGTGGTTCGATTCGAATTGCTCGATCTATCCTAGATTCTCCGACCGCATCGAAACAGGTACACAGCATCCATCTAAGAATCCTAGTGGAACGTGACGTAAAATAAGTCACGCGTTACTAGGTGCTTATACATATGCACGAAACCGGTTCGAAGAATTACACTCTTTGTCAGGGTTGAAGTCGTCGATTAAAACCGGAATTCTTAATGAATTACACACTTTGTCCGTGTTGAGGTCGTAATAAGTAATTTGTTTCCAGTCGGATTTATATCTACTGTAGGATTTTACACCACTAGCTAACGGCGTAATTTCATTTAGTAATTCCATTTAGTCTCTATTTACATGCAGTAAGACTTTACGCCTGGCCCAGTAACTGACGGCGTAATTTCTTCAGTCGCGAAATCCGTTGTTTTCTTGAGACTACCAATCCCACTAAGAGATTACGATCTCAAATAAATTTCTTGAAAAAAAAAAAAAAAAAAAAAAACGCAACAGAAGAGATTATCGAAAGCAGTCAGTAATATTGGTGAAAAGATTTCTGCTTCTTACGGGTAAGCGCTGCTCTTTCAAGGAATAGCATATTGTGCTGCTACGATATAAAGCTTCCGGCTAGGGGTAGGGAAGGGGAGCTTAATCATGACGAAGAAAGATTCACACAATTATTTAAGGTTTCTCTCGTTTGATACTTGACGTATGGGGACTCAAACAGCGCCAATAACCATTGCAAATCTAGTAAGAAAAATGTGCCAGTCTTCAAATGTGGCAACGAAACGACCGAATTGGGTTCAAGAGACCGTATGCGACGTTATCATGTTAATCCGGTGAGGAACTAGCGTGATAAATGTGTTGAACTTATCCCTGTATTGAGTGGTCACCCATGGGAAATGGCGGGATGAACGTTTAATCGAGGATAACATTCTCCCTCTAGGAAGATGAAAAGAACCATCAAAAATAGCTCAATGCAAAGTAGAGAATTATTGATCCGTTTGAATTGGATCCAGCGCTGGAACGGGGATTCCCCTCTCTGATGTAATTGCATAATAATCTCTCGGTTTAAAAATAACCCAATGACCGGTTCTGTTTACAGTTTGTTCCCGAATTTTTCTTGACTTCCCGATTATGTCCCATTTAGATGTCTTATTCTTTGTAATGCAGCCAACAACTTCAATATCAGAATTATAAGCGAATAATTCACAAAATAATTGTGCGGAAGCTGTTAAATTTGTCTTTTTCCTAGGACAGAGCGATTATCTATTCCGCAAACAAATCACGCGCGAATAATACGATATTCTTTAAAGTTTACTCTGATTGACAACAGAACTTTAAGCGAGACTTAAGATACAAAAAGATTGAAAAAGCGGACCTTGAATGTAACTTTTCTTTTACACAAAATATTTCATGTGTTGATAGCCTATGAAAAAGGGTTGTCTACTCACAAATAAATAACTGTCACCGAAGAAGTTTGTTACTTTATGGACAAGTCATACCTCACAGTAAATCATAAAAAAACTATCAGCAGAGTGCTCCAAAAGCTTCAACAAAAACTTATGACTTGGGGCTAGGAAGTTGTTATGCATAGAGATATCAGCTCTAACAATTCTTCGCTCAATAAGTTCCCACACAGTAATGCATAGAGATATCAGCTCTTAGTAAAAATTCTTCGCTCAATAAGTTCCCACACAGTAAATGCTAGCTACGGTATACGTTCTTCTTTGGCAGCTCTTTATATCTGTTAAATTAAAGAAAAAATTGCATCACTAGGGTTTCAGTATCTTCCTCAGTTATGTGTAACTCGCCACAGATTCTTCGGACGCTGTCGTGTAACGCTACCCCGAAATCACAACACGTGACTTAAAGCCACGTTACGGTGACGTAACGAAAAGCAGTCTGCTGTTTTACTTTGTGAAAATGCTAATTATATAACGATTGATGGCGTTTATCAGAGGATAATGGGAGCATTTCAACTAAAATAATAGTTTGAACACCGACCTTAATAACGCATCTCCTCGTGTTCTTCTGCCCTCTTGTCAAGTCTTTCATCATTTTCTTGCGGCAACTTATCCGCAGGGTTGTTAAGATCATTGGGTTCGTCTTTCACTTCTCCGATCTCCTCTCGCGCCCCTTTCGGTCCACACCCCTTACCTCCCAAAAATTTGAAGACAAGCCATGCGGTGATAATGCCACTTATGGTGCCGCATACTACACTCCAAAGAACTTTGTTAGGGGACATTT